CCGCCATTCCCGGAAGTATGCCCATATATGGAAGACGCTGCGTCTTCGATGACGCAATGACGCAACCTGGCTACAACGCCTGGCTATTACAGATTTGAACAAATACGCACAAAAACATCAAAATTAGCACAGAAACAGTACTATATAACATTTTAGACACATTCTAGACAGTTTATCAGCTAAAAAAGTTAATTTTGGGGTAAGTTACTCTTTAAGGACTTAATCCTCAGTGTGATGTGATAGATCACAAATATCCATCTAAAGAAACCAGCAGATGACAGCATAACAACACTTCATTGAGCAAGCACAGGGTGAGGGTAGAGAGGAAAAGCTTTCTTTTGACAGGAAGAAACCATCATTAGAACTGAGCTCAGGAGAGCTGGCCATCTGTCTCAACCAGTATAGGCAGAAAAAATAATCCCCATTTAGTATGCGTCTTACGCAAACCCTAGCTCCTAGTCCACATTTCCCACTGCCGTTCATGTGGGCATCCAAACAGATAAGTCAAGCCAACAAAGAAGGTCAAGAACACAAGTTTAATCATAAAGAAAGCAAGTTCTAAAGTCAACTCAAGCAACTATACAACCAAAAAATGTAGTTAAAAAGTAAACAAACTCCATAAAAGGACAAAATAGATCAGAAAACATGTTTTAAATCTTACCACAGCCATGAGACCAGCTCCGAGACCAATCATTGGACTGACTGAGATGATGACGAGCGTCAGCTTCCAGCCTTTAACAAACCCGATGCAGAAGCCACAAACAAAGGTGGTGAAGCGCTGCACAAATATGGCCACTTGATCCGCAATGGCATCGTTGATTTTGTTAATATCACTGTAAAACAGATAACTGTGCTGTAAAGACAGACATGCTTTGGAGCGACCCATAACCCCAACATCAGGCCATAACTGCCCTGCTCACTCTGACATGCGGGTGTTGAGCTCCCCGACCGAGGTGCAGTCAAACCAGCCAATCTCCATCCTCATCACTTTGCTGAAGTACATTTTCCTGATGAGCTGAATCTGCCTGGCTGCTGCCGTCACCCACAGGGAGATCTGTCAAAGGGAGTGAAGAGGTGATGCTTACGTTTGGCAGGGCAGYGGGATATCATCACGTCTGAGTTCACTTTCTTAGTGGTAAATTCTGCATGTGTCACTGAAGGAGCAAAGGTGAGAAAATTGAATGGATGGATCCATCAAGGTGCCCTCCATACTGATCCCACAAACAGCCCCATTGATGTAGCGCAGCCCATAAACACAAACACTTTGGTCTATACTGTTATTTTTACAAAAACATAAACCTTTCAGTTTGAAAGTTTATCTTGTGTTTTATTTGACAGGTTATCTGTAGAACATGACCTGCTACTGCTATGTCAGGACCAACACAGGTGGTTTGATTTTCTGTTTCTGTTCTGGGTTGTTGTCTATTAAAGCACAAGGCCAGCAGGACTACCGTATTTATATTTGTAGATATATTGAGATGAAATTTGGTGTGGTGGGAGCTGCGATCACCAAAATCAGATTGTAAATTTAAAATGGCAGAAAGGAACTTTTCTATTTGCTCCATATCATTGCTTTATAGATTTCAACCAATTTTCTTTAACTAGTTCTTAAACCCAGAAATATTATGCAATTGTTTTATATTAATTCAGTGGTTCACAAGTTATTTTTTTTACAAACTGTTAGCTTCCCCCTACAACAGCTGCTTCACAGATGTTTACTCCATATTTTAAAATATCGCATGCAATCCCCACCCCGTTTGTCAATCATCTGGGGATGGCATTGAGGTGCCAATCAGGTGTCAGGAGTGGCACTAGCCACCCTGCCTTTGACCCTGGTACTAATGCAGAAAAAAACTAAATGCTGCATTAACTAAAAATAAACCTCTATACTTTTACATGACACAGTTTGTTTGTTTGTTTTTTTTTTTTG